CCAGGCTTTAATTCTGTTCCCACCCACACTTAGGGATGGGGAAGGGTGGGTCACAGAACCCATGTTCCATCACTCCTGGAATCTACTGGAATCCCACCTTAGGGATGGGCAGGGACAGGTCACAAAAAACCTCGAAGGTCGTGGAGCGATACCCACAGGCCTGGCACTTGAGGCAACTTTTCAACTGGCCCACAAACAGGTCTAGGTAGAAGCAAAAAGGCAGGAGAAGTTGTCATCGTCATAGTCAGATGCCTGAAGTGCTCTCCTAGAATCCTGTCTCGTCCTGTGCCTTTGATCTGCCTTTCTAACTACAACGCTGCTGCTCAGCTCCACACACCGTTTCCCACACTCGGCATCTACCCTTGCTCCCGTGCCTCCTCCTCCCGAGCCCCAGCTCCCACTCTGCTGCCCCATTGCATACCCACAATCTTGCTGTCTTCTCGCTCCAGGTAGCGCTTCCACATTAAGTTGGCTCGGTCATCATCACTACCACAGAGCAAAGGAAGGGGGCAACCTGTGAGACAGCTGTAATACTGGGTGCCCCAAACCACAGAAATTATCCACAGAACCCTGCTCCCTGTCCATATACCAGCTCCTTCCCTAAATTTCTAGTCAAAGGAGTAAGTAATACTTCGGGGAACTTTCTGGGGAAATCCAAGATGAAAGGCGAGATAGATAGATATAGATAGATAGATAGATAGATAGATAGATAATCTCCCTCTACAAGCTCTTTTGACATATTTGACTGTAGAAGTTCTCTCCTTCCCCAGTTTAATGGCATCCCTGACACTATTTTCTGCCTCTATAAGTACTTTTCAGCTTCCCTCTTCCTTTTTTTTTCTTTTTTTTTTTTTCCTGTGCTAAAGAGTCTCCCCTAAGCCCTACATTTCCAGTTTCAGTTAGCCCAGTTCTGTGACGACTGAATGCTGATGAACTACTGGGAAGAGGAGCAAGGGGGACCAACTCTTACCTCAATTCAGGTTCTTCATGCAGAGCTCCTCCTCGGCGAGGTGCAGAAGGAACTGGACCACTGGCCAGGATTGGTGGTGCCCGGTGGCCTCGTCGGTTGATTTCGAGGTGCAACCGCTCCATGAGGAGCTTCAGGAACTCTTGGGCATCCTGCTGGCTACAGCCAGACAGAATATAGGCAACTAATCCCCTCATGGTCCACACAGTATCCCCTGCCCAAATGTGGGTCCCTCTTTCCACAGTGTAGGAAATCTCAAGGCTCAGAACACTGCTGCTAGAGCTTCTGCTTGGCTCCAACCCCAGACCTAGTCAGAGAGAAAGCCCATTCACTCAGTTTCCCCACCTGTATCCAGAGAAGGAAGGGACGTATTTCTGGAAGACAGCCCGGAATCGGGTAGGATTCACAGCTTCACAGGAGTCAGGATGCCAGAGGGCACCAATCACATCTGCAAAGGCTGTTGGTCGGACAGTGGGGAAGGGATTTCAAAGTTAATGTCTAGAAGAGCAGGCGGAAGGAGATTCAGTGGCTAGAAAATCGCCAAAAAGAAACTGAGGAAAATGGATGTAACCACCAGCTTGAAGGTCTGGAAACCATGAGTATTGGGAGGATAGAACTGAAGGGGTTGGGGGAGAGAGAAGTATCAGGAGTAGTTGCCCACCTTCTGTGAGTTCCTGGGCTCTGCCTCCTCTAGGCACCTCTTGTCGGAAGTCCCTTCGCAGACAAAAGTCTCGAAGAGGCCTTGTACTGCTCAAACACTGTAGCACTGCGTTCAGGAAGCACTGGGGGGGGGGGGCAGTGGGAACACTGCTGTTGTTACCTTTCCAGACCAGTGCTCAGCAGGACTAAGAGAGTGTCAGTGCACTCCTGCATGCCCTGCCTAGGTCTGCACTTGTCTCCGCCCCCAACACCATCTCACATTGCTTTTACAGAGAAGGACAGGAAAATGGCTCTTACTGTATTTCCTAGATTTCGGAGGCCAACATGACCAGAGCCCAGAAGCAGTGTGTGGTGAGCCTAGAAAGTCAGAGGACAGTCATATTCTCCTGGCGTTTTCAATAGCATGCTGCCAATGTCTCCCCAGCGCCATCTGTGCCCAGCTCTACCCTGCTTCCCTCACTGGTCATCTTACCTCACTGGTCATGAGTAGTAAACCCATTACAGCTGAGTGTACCACAGATTCAGCCATGGCTGTCATACCTAGTCCCCATTTACTCCGCTGCCAAGCTAGCCGCCGCTGCAGCTCCTGAGGCAACTCCCTAAGCACTGGCATGGTTGCCCAGCTGCTCCCCACACCCACTTTACTGCCCCCAAACCCCCCTCCTGCCCCCGTGGCCCCTTCTTGCACCCTCTCCTGCTGGCTCCAACTGCAAGCAGCCTAGCTCAGTTAGCTCAGGAAATGGGTAACCACACCAGTAGAGGTGCTCTTAACTCCACCCCTTCTCAGTAGAGGTGCTCTTAACTCCACCCCTTCTCAGCTCTAGGGATTAATTAGGCCTAGGCCCAGTCCTAGGAGAAAAGCTGCCTTAAAAGAGAGGGCCTAAGGACCCAAAGAAGAATTCTAAATACTCGGGCTAAGTCCCTAGGGACTAGAATGGCACACCAAGTTGGAGAATCACATACAACCCAAAATAAGATCTAGAAGGTCTCAGAAAAGACAAGAATCCACTGGTGTAATGAGGGGTTGACAACGGGACTTGGAGAAGGGAACACAGGAAAGCCATAGTATGACAAAGTTGAAGGCAAGAGGAACATGAGCATGGAAGACCACGTGTGCTGGCAAGTCCTCACCATCTTGTCATCAGAGTAGAAAGGCTCAGAAGGCCGGGCAGCTATCATGTGGAAGGAGCCATGGGAAGTAGGGGGCTCTGTCCGTATGGTGAGCAGGGTAGGGGGGCCAGGGAAGCCCCCAAGACGCCGGAGAGAAGTACTACGTCTCAAAGTGGGTGGCTCAGGCCGGAGTGCCAAGCGGCTCAGTGCAGACCCTAGCTCACCAGCGCCACGGTGCCCTCCCAAGGCAATCCCCAATGGACGCAAGTCCCCACTGCTCACAGACTTAGAACGGGCTAAGTTGGTCCGGGATGGGAGAGGCAGAGCCACAGTTGGGGGCGGTGAGCCAGGCAAGGGAACCCCATGATCTGCTCGAAGGGGACCTCTAGGATTAGAGGTCCGACCCCGACCCAACTCCAGTCTCTTGAGCCTTTCGTCTGGGGGACCTGGCCTGGGAGGCAAAGGTCGTAACATGGAGTTTGGCCCAGGAACTGGGTTTCGGCACTCCTTGCTGCGGGCCCGGGGAGGAAATGGTATCTTGACTCCCACTCGGGGCTGTACATTGACAGGTGGCTCTCGAGTACGGCCCAGGCGGTGCTCAGAAGCCTGGGGCATTGTGGGCACCCCACAGGCTGGACCTGAGGAGAACAGAGGGGCAGCATTTGAATTAGGAAGGGAGATAAGATACAGGCTACCATGCAAGCTGGCTTCTTCATGTACCGAGGGCACTAATAACGTTTATAAAATCAGTTCTTGCATTTCAGGACCTGGCAATGTTTGGCACAAAAACAAAACCCCCCAAAAAACCAAAAAACACCTTAGTACTCCTTGAGTAAACAAATGACTGGATAGTAGACCATCATTTTGACCTTTCCATGTCCTACCCCCTCTGTCTATAGAATACAGATTTATTTAAAAGCCAATGGTAATCTCAATCTCAGCTGTTTTTATAATCTACAAACTTCTAAAAATCCTCATATGTGGCTAGTCAAGTGGGATGTGCCATAGACCTGGCACTGTGGACGCAGGAATCACTCCAAAAGACAGCATTCCAATCTCAACCCCTGCTCCTCTAGGTTGCAAATGAAGCCGATTAAACGGGTGATCTGCAATCCACTCCCTCCTCCAATTCTCGGATCCTACTTGGTATTTGGGCCCAGAGGGGCAATGGTTTGAGATGGAGGACAAACTACTTGACCCCTAATTTGTACACCTCTCCCACCACAGCAGGGTTTTACCCGGGTCCGCCCCCCTCGAGGGCAGAAAGGCCGAGGCTGCTGATTGGCTGTGGGGTCCGGCGGCATATTCCCCGCGGTCCGAGAATGCTGTTCTTCGAGCCCAGTGCTCCCAGGCCCCAGTGGGCACCGCGACCATTTCCCTTTGTGGTGAACGTCCTTTGGGGTCTGGATCCATCTTCCCTCGGCTCTCCCACCCCACCCCGCCATTAACGTCCCGGCCCATACCTGTCCCCCGGTGAGGCGGCGGGGGAGGCCAGCCGGGGTCCAGCTCCAGCTCAAGGCCACCCCCTCCTACCCCAGAACAGCCTCCCCGCAGGCCAGGCTGCAGTTTTAGCTGCAGCTGTTGCCCAGCTTGCTCCCGCCGCAAGGGCCGCCGCCATCTTTGTTGGTGCCGCCTGGCCACCGGCCACCGGCTTCACAGTCTCTTAAGCGCCTGCGCGCCCACACTCGGAATCCTCCCACCTACCTCCTCGGCGCTTGCGTGAGCCCGCCCCCACGGCTCCCCGACCGACACCATGGAAACGCAGCCAACTTTAGAACCACTAGTTTCAGGCCCTGCCTAGTGGTGGTCTTTCAACCATTGCTGCAAGCCTCTGAGGCCAAGGCTCCTCACCCAGTCATATATGGTCCATAGGGATGAAGAGACAAAAAGTCGAAGAATAATAGAAGGGTTTGCAACACAGATTCTTCCCAAACAAGAGGGATGCAATGAGAAAGCAGCATGCAGGTCCAGGTCTAGCAGCAAACCAATAGAGAAGCATTTAGCAACTCCACCTAAGGATGGGGAGATCCCTAGTGGGCAGAGAACGCTGGACCTGTGAAACCCATTCTTCAAGCTTCTTTGTAGGCTCAGGCAGTAAGTAAAGCACGGTCCACTGCTAAAGGACAAAAGTAAACCCCAATAGCAGGGAAAGAAACCAGATTTTCTTCCATTCACTCCCTCCCCCCAAGCTAGTGTAGTTGTTCATGTACCTCCTTATTTTGCTTGTTTACCTTGTTAACAGCCATGAAGGAGAACCACAGGCCACCATGGGAAGCAGCTTTTATTGACAGGTTGTCTCCAGAAACCAAAAAGCTATATGCTGTCAGTTACACCTCATGCCTCCAAAATGCCTCCAGGGCTCTACTTGGAGAAGAGATACAAATTGCCTATTTCAAGGCCCAAATCTTTCACCTCTCTGTATAGCTTAATTTAGAAACGTTGCGACCTTGCCCTCTTGTTGGGTTTTGTATTTGTCCCTCCAGCTACTTTGTAACAGCCAGAGGTGACCCCTTGAAGGAATCATGAGAAAGGAGAAAGCAGGAATGAATAGAGTCTAGCAACAGTTCCTCTGTCCTGCCTCAGAGGCTTCATCCTTCATTGGTTGCATTTTTCTTTGTGCTGGATCACACCCTTCTGAATCAGATCAGGGACTTCCACTGCCAGCCAAGGACCCAGCTGCAATGCAAGGGAAACCCTGTGAGGTTACTGCCACAGTCCATGCCTCTTGTTCCACCTGAGCCTCCTTTCCAGAGACTCTAGGTCCTAGAGTCTAGGAGGATGTTTAGTCTCAGCTACGTGTATAATATTGCTTATCCCTGAACCCTCCCTCTTCCTCGCATACACCAAGAATAACAAACTTACCCCCAGGGCCATGAGATGAGCTAGTCCAAACTTGGGTACATTCCTGGCCCACAAAGGTTTGAAATGATCAGTCAGACATATTTTGCCACCCCTATGAGAAAGACAAGAGGAAGGTGTTGACACACAAAACTGGCTTAATGTATAGCAGCCTCTTGGGAACTTAGGAAGATTATTTGTGCTCAGAATCGAGAACAAGGTCAGCTAAGGACTTTTCATAGGCTTGACATAGGAGACCCGGATTCCCTCTAGACTCTGGAGCAGCAGGCTCTGGAGAAGCCATTTGTCTCTTGAGCTCCTCCCCAAGGCTACCTTTGCTCTTTCTCACCTCCTACTCAGTCCTACCTGTACATCTTTGCTGTCTTCCCATCCAGCTCAGGGACTGCAATTTCTGGAGCAGTAGTGGGGTACGTGACAGGAATCTGGAGAAATTACAAAGCCATAATAAAACAGACAAGTGAGAGGAAAAATGAACTAGTCTAATCAAACATATGTATCTCTTGGCTGAACTGCTTGTTCCGAAGATTCCCCCAGTGGCATGTACATATTAGGATTCTAGACACAGAGAATAGTAACTGTTACATAGCTGCTTCAAACCTCAGTTTTCCCCTCCCACTTTAAAAGCTTTATTTGGTCCCTACATGAAAGGTTAGTTTGTCAACAATCAGCTAACAAGCCTTTTCTACTAACCTTCATACTTCCCATTCTACCACACTCACTTCAAACTCGATGTCAAACTCGTATTTGAGAAGGTCATGGATGTACCAGCATTTTCCAAACCACCTGCAACAGAGACCAAACCTCAGACCATTCCCAGCAAATGCAAATGACATCTCTGCTTAGGTCACTAAACTGGAAGACTCACATGTCAGGAATTAGGAACTCTAAACTTCTGAATGGCTGCTCTGGCAGTTGGTTATGGGATACCAAATTGCTTAAGCCAGGTGAGGCTCCTACCCATACCTCCCAAGGGCCTGCTTACCGGGTTCCTTCCTTGTTGGACTCCAGTCGGAACCAATCATTGTCTGAATTCTTGTTGTTCTCCACATACTGAAAACAGAAAATGAGATCTTAGAGAAAAGGGAGCTGGAGCCAGGGAGTAGTGGCAAGCATCGTTAGTCCCAGCACTCAGGATGCAAGCAGATCTCTCAGTTCAAGGCCAGCCTGGGCTACACAGAGAAACCCTGACATAAAAAAACAAAAAGCAAACAACACACACAAACGCACAGGCACTGGCTCTGGAACCAAGGGCAGCCCCTCTTGTCCAAAAAAAAAAAGTATGGTTACTTCCTCTTTAGTATGATTCTGAACAATTTTACTTATTTATATTTTATTTTATTTATATGAGTACACTGTAGCTGTCAGACACACCAGTAGAGGGCATCAGATCCCATTACAGATGGTTATGAGCCACCATGTGGTTGCTGGGAATTGAACTCAGGACCTCTGGAAGAGCAGTCAGTGCTCTTAACTGCTGAGCCATCTCTGCAGCCTGATTTTTAACAATTTTAAAGACATAAGCAAAAGGAAGGAAAACGCTAAAGGAATAAGTTGGGGGCTTTCTCAAAGCAGATAACAGAATGACTATATTCCCTACAATATAGCAAGCAAAGAATATTTGGAGATTTGTGAGGTTGTGTTCTCACTTCTGGTAGTGTCTGTCCTCAGCCCCAACCACATTTTACCACATACATTATTCCTGGAGGACTCTGTGCTAACTTCCATTAGTAGCCACAAGCTGGTGACTTTCAAATCTTTGCCTTTAGTTCAAGCCTTTGTCAGAATTTCAGATTCTAGTATCCAATTGTATGCTTTAATTTATACCTTTACCTAACAGAAAACTGAAACTTAGAACTTCCACTGGATTTTATACTGCCCCCCCCCATCCTCTTCAGGGTCTCTTGTCCAGGCTAACCTCAACCTACCTTATATAACTAAGAATGATGATCCTCCTGCCTCCACCTTCTGCATACTGGGATAATAGGTATGAACCACTGTAGCTGGTCTTTGCTACTTTGTGGGTTTCTTCTTTGTCCCCCCTGTCTCACCCCCTAACACTAGATAGGAGAGAAACAACTGTATAGAGGAGACAGGAATTAGGAAAATCCCTGAATCTAATTTATTTTCATTTGCTTCTTCTTTGATCATGGCTACTAACTGCAACCAACCTCCTTTAACAACTAACAACAACTCCCAACCCCCACCTATCAGGGCCCTCACATTTTTGTACCCTCTGAAAAGTTCCCAGAATTCCAAATATCACACAATTACAGAAATTATCTCCAGCTGGCAAAACCATCCCTCTATTCCAGCTTGAGGCAAATCATGATCAGCTGCTGTCAGTTCGAAGTGACCCATATCCCCACACCTGGGATTAAAGTAAAAGTACATTCTTATAACATTTCTGGGGTCTTTGTTGTTGTTTTTAATTCTAGAATTCTCACTACAGACCACCACAGACATTCTCAGTTTCAGGGAGCAGTCTCACTCAGCCACCTGAGGCAGAACACCAGCCTTCATTCCTGACCTTTCCCTTACTAATCCTTCCTGATGCGCTGCTGATTTTAGTTTCTGCTGTTCATCTGTTACAGGGTCTCTCTGTAGCCAGGGCTGGAACTAAACTCACTGAAATCTTCCTGCCTCAGTCTCCCCTGTACTAGGTTTATAGGTATATACTGCAACATCTAGCCTTAGCCCTAACTCAAATTTTACTCTTTTTTTTTTTTCTTGATAGTCTCACTAAATTGCTCAGGCTGGCCTTGAACTCATTCTGAAACAACTAGTGAAGGTTTGTATATGCTTGGCCCAGGGAGTGGAACCATTAGAAGGTGTGGCCCTTGGAGTAATTGTGGCCTTGTTGGAGTAGGTGTGTCACTGTGGGTGTGGGCTTTAAGACCCTCATCCTAGCTGCCTGAGAAGTGAGTATTCTGCTAGCAGCCTTCAGATGAAGATCTAGAGCTCCTCCTGAACCATGCCTGTCTGGATGCTGCCATGTTCCCACCTTGATGATAATGGACTGAACCTCTGAACCTGGAAGCCAGCCCCAATTAAATGTTGTCCTTATAAGAGGTGCCTTGATCGCCGGGCGGTGGTGGTGCATGCCTTTAATCCCAGCACTTGGGAGGCAAAGGCAGGCGGATTTCTGAGTTCGAGGCCAGCCTGGTCTACAGAGTGAGTTCCAGGACAGCCAGGGCTACACAGAGAAACCCTGTCTCGAAGAAAAAAAAAAGAAAGAAAGAAAAAAAAAAAGAAAAAAGGTGTCTTGGTCATGGTGTCTGTTCACAGCAGTAAAAACTCTTTTGTTTGTTTGTTTGTTTTTGTTTGTTTGTTTTTGTTACTGAATCAGATCTCCTGAAACTGCTACTATGGATGGTTGTGAGCAATCATGTAAATGCTGGGAACCAAACCAGATCCTCTGCAAGGGCGGTAGGAGAGCCATTCCTTCATTCCTGTCCTTATGTCTTGAGTGTCCTTTCCCTACCGTTATGTTTTATATGCTAGTGTGTGTGTGTGTGTGTGTGTGTGTGTGTGTGTGTGTGTAGCCATGCCAAGGTGTTACATGTGGTAATTAGAGGACAACCTGAAGGAGGCAGTTGTCTTCTGTGGGTTTCCAGGATCAACCTAAGGTTTAGGCTTAGTAGAAGGTGCTTTACAAACTGAGCCATCTCCCTCTGGCCCTGTGTTTATACTTCAAATTTTACCACTTCTAAGAAGCCTCACTATAGCTGGCATTTTAGCTACTTTACAGTTTCTTGCTTTTTCCACCCTTTATCCCCAGCTTCTTCCCCTATCACTAGATAGGAGAGAAAGAAAAACACAGGAGGAGGGTGAAACGGGGGAGGTAGGAGATGAGGGGAATACCTGAATCTAAGCTCTTTCTTGTTTCTTCTTTGAGAAAGACTACTAACAAACCACAGCTGAGTGACCATCAAGCACCAAATGTAGCAGCAGTCTAGCTTTTATATACCTTCTGAAATTTTCCCAGAATTCCAATTGTCATGCAATCACAGAAACTATCTGCAGCTAGCAAAACCAAGCCTCTGCTAGAGCACAAGTCAAATCACAGTCAGCTGCTTTGAAGCAGCCCCATAGTCCCCACACATGGGATTAAAACAAAAACGTATTCTTACGCTTCTGTTTAACACAATAATATGCTTTATTGTTGTTGTGTTTGAAGCAGGGTCTCATATAGTCCAGACTGGCTTTGAATTCATTATGTAGTCTAAAATGACCTGAGCTTTCAATCCACCTGGCTCCACATCCTGGGTACTGAGAATGAATGAGCGACATCAATTTATGAGGTGCTAGAGATAGAACCCAGGACATCTTGCATGCTAAGCAAGCACTCAGCCAATTTCTAAGTGAGGCAATACATAATGCAAGCGACCTATTGGTTTTTGAAACAGAACGCACCAAAAGGAGGGCACTCTTTATCTTCCCATAACAGAGGAATTAGCTGAAAGGATGACTATTTTATAACTAAAAACATCTAAATCTCTCTACCTCTTAACACTTTAGGTTTTCAGTCCTGACATAAATTCCATTCATTTCATCACTAAGAATGAAACATGAGCAGTGATGCATCGAGACTTCTTCCGGCTCTAAGAAATACTTTTGACCCTCTATTCCTACAGCCACCCGAGCAAACACCTGGCGCGAGAGAAACACACGTCACCTTCCCAGAACACTGCTCTGCTTTTCCTTCAAGATCTAGCCCTACTGTGCCCTTAACCGGAATCTCTTCTGCATCCTCCCTCCGGCCACCCGTAACACCCTCATTGCCCCCAAACATTCGCATTTATGTGAATTTAGATTTTAAACTTAAAAACCGGAAGCGGCTTCCACCCGGAGCCAATTCCCAAGGACACCTGATTACCCTCCACCCCTCTGCTACTCGGTCAACCAAAGGAGTAAAACTGACCCGGATAAGGGACTGATATTCCTCCTTTAGTCGCTGCACCCACAATTCCCGATCTCGGGGTCCGGCGTTAGTCTTCAGCACCGGGATCTCAGACACGACCCGCCGGGTGGCCTCGTCCGCCATCTTGGACCAGGGCGCAAGAAAATTGCGGAAGTGGAGTTGCTTGTAACTTACTCACGGCGTCGCCATCTTTACTGTGGGAAGATGAGGCCTTAAAGCGGTTTCTGAATGCACTCGATTTTTATTTTATTTTATTTTATTTTTTGTAAGAAAATAAAATTGACCCTCTGGTGTGAGCGTCCGGAAGAACAGAACGAAGGTGGGTTACTCTGTCCAGACACCTATCATTAAATCACCGGAGAATGCTCAGAGAACGACTTCCGTTCATGCTCAGAAGCAATCTTGGGAAAAACAATCTTAAGATCTTCCCAAACCAGGAAAGCTGTTTGAATTTCAGGTTTATCTAGACAACTCTTCAAAGTACCATCTTCTAAGATGCGCAATTTACGTGTTTGTGCTTCAGAATGACTTCCTTAGTTTCATTCCCTGCCCTGAATAATTAACACAACTGCATTAGGAAGTACGTGAGCTTGTTTGTTTTTTAAAGGACACTGGGTCCTATATATCCCAGACTTGCCTCAAACACATACAGGATGGCCTGGAGCTATTGCTTATGCCAAAATTAATGTGTTTATGTTTTAAAACCGACCTTAAAGATAAAACTTTTTCCAAAGAGTTACTGAATATCTTTTGTGTGCTATACATTAAGTATATAGACACGATTTCTTCTTAAATGTATTACCCCAATGGCTAGAGGACAGTCACTGAATGCCTATCTAAGTCTATGACAAGTCTTCTGGTAATTTTTTGTTGTTTTTTATTAGACCAGGCTGGCCTCCTACTCACAGAGCTCTGCCTGCTTCTGTCTCCCAAATGCTGATCAGGTAATTTCTAAATTCGTTTGAAACCAAGAAACCTCAGTAAGCGTGATGCCCACATCTGTTATTGAAGAACTTGGGGGTCAAGGTCAGAAGATTGCTGCAACTCAGTCTAAAATGAACAAACAAACCCCATATGTGGCAGCTGCTGTGGTTGCATGCCTTCAATCCCAGCATTTGGGAGGCAGAGGTCTCCAGAGTTAACCTTGGTGAGTCTACATTGACAATGAGATCCTGTTTCAAAGAGAACAAGCTCCAGGGTGGTGGTGTCTCACATCTTTGATCTCAGGAGGCAGAGGTCAGCATATCTCTGAGTTTGAGAGCCATCGTGGTCTACAGAGAGAATTCCAGGACAGTCAGGGCTACACAGAGACACAGAGAAACCCTGTCTCAAAAAAAATACAAAAACAAAACAAAACAAACAAACAAACAAACAAAACCAAAACAACCTCCTACCGAAAGAAAGAAAGACAAGACAAAGCCGGGCGGTGGTGGCACACGCCTTTGATCCCAGCACTTGGGAGGCAGAGGCAGGCGGATTTCTGAGTTCGAGGCCAGCCTGGTCTACAGAGTGAGTTCCAGGACAGCCAGGACTACACAGAGAAACCTTGTCTCGAAAAACCAAAAAAAAAAAAAAAAGACAGACAAGACAACAAGAAGTAGAAAATTGTGAAATGGCTCAGGTGGATAAAGATACTTTTAGCAAAAGCCTGGCTACCACATAAAGATGGAAGGAGAGAATGGATTCCACAAAGCTGTCCTCTGACCTACGCATGTGCTGTGGCATGTGTGCCCCTTCGACTTAAATTAATATATTTGTATTTTATGTGAGTGTTTTGCCAGCATGTGTGTAAGGTACCATGTGCACGCAGTGCCAGTAGAGGCAAGTGAAGGGCAGCAAGTGCCCTGGAGCCCGAGTTACAGACATTCCATATGAGTGCTGAGAACTGAAGACTGGTCCTCTGCAAGTGTGTCTAACTGTTGAGCTGTCTCTCCAGTTTCTAGCTGAAGACACAAACACACACAAATAGTTTTAAGAGCTGAGGATGTAGTTAAGAGCACTGACTGCTCTTCCAGAGGTCCTGAGTTCAAATCCCAGCAATCACATGGTGGCTCACAACCATCTGTAATGAGATCTGATGCCCTCTTCTGGTGTGTCTGAAGACAGTGACAGTGTACGCACATATATAAAAGAAATAACTCTTAACAACAACAAAGCTCCAAATCATCACTAGTCAGGCAATGATGGTATCAGGGCCTAGGTAACCGTTACCTGGCTAGCCTGCAATTATAAGGAAACTTTCTCATATGTTTCTGCTGTTGACTAGGACACTTTCTTTGTAATCAGTTGCAAGACTTTGTAATCAGTGCAAGACTGCCATCTTCCACCTTCCATAATTTCAATTCCAGAGGATATGATACCCTCTTTTGGAATTCAAGGACACCAGGCACACATGTGGTGTTGGGGGATGGCTTTGTGTGCTGTGTATTCAGATGCTGATTTCTTTACCTTAGAGATCTGGTTGCAGTCTGGCTGACCATTGGCATGGTCATTATTACTGAAAGCATCTCCCATCCTGATGTTGTGTGAAAACTGTTCTTCATCTCTGATTGGTTAAGGAAGAGCTGATCAGTCTGTAGCTGGGCAGGAGAGTTAAGCAGAATTTGTAATCCCAGTGAGGGAGTCCCAGGCAGAGTCACCATGAGGACACAGATGGAGCAGAAGCAGCCAGGGCAAGAATGTTGGTAATGGGGCACATGGCTGGGAAATAGCCAGCAGAATTGGGTTAGAATAGAGGAGTATCTGCCCAGCTATAGTGCAAGAAGCATATATATAAATATAAAGGTCTCTGGTCATTACTCAGGAAAAAGGGAGGCATAGACAATCCCCAAATAATACCTTTACAATGTGTTGCACATACATACCTGTAACCTCATTTCAAACCTCATTTTTAATGATGGCTCTTAAATGTTTTAACCTCCCTTGTAGCCCTCCACCCAACAGAGCTAGTGGAAAAGAAAGGATAGGGAGGAAGTGGACCTGTTTAGAAAGGTTCTTTGGAGCAACTCTTGTCTCTGTTGTCTACAAATCAGCAATTCAGCTCACAGGTCAGCAGAGGCAGCTTGATCCACTCACAAACACTTCATGGATACACCAGCAGTCCAGTTTGGTAGAGTTGGGATAGCAAACACAATCAGCAGTGGTAGCACTACCTAGCAGAGATAGTCAGATGTTGGCCTTGGCACAAGTCAGTAAGAGGGACCAGGAGGAATGCCAGGAGAAGTTCTCAGCCGTGCTTCGAGACCCACAAACTTTGCACAGCTAGCTCTATAAGCAAGCCAAGCTTAGCCTCCGTCACTCTCTGTCCTGTCCAGCAGGGCATTAAATAGGGGTCCGGGGAGATCACCTGAAAGAGAAAGTGGAGAACAGGCCGACGCAAGGAAAGACAATCTGCTATAGTCTGATCAGATCGCCATTTTTACTTTTGCACACACAGGTTATATACACAAAAAGGCAGGATGTGGGGAAGGGGATGACAAAGGAGTGTGGGTGTTCAGGGGGAGTATAGATATCTTCAGAACAGAGTGTCAGCTGGGTGAAGGTTCAGAGGACAGACCACTATGACTCCGCCTATGATTCACTTGTCTTTATCTAAGTTGGTACTATCCACCAAGGTTACCCATCTACAAGGCCTTATGACTAGGCTTAGCAGCCTTCCACCAAGCTGTCTGTTTACAATAACTCCCAGCTATCTGTTTCAGTGTTTTTCCACATAGACCCAAGACTTGGTGCTAACAGGCACGTATGTCAGGCCTACTGCTGATTTTAGGCCTATGGCTGATTTTAGGCCTTCAGTGTATAAGCAGGGCTGCTCCCCACAACTCTCTGTTGAGTCCTATTTATAACCTTCAACCATCACATGTCTACCACAGGTCTTGCCTCAGCACATGTGTCTGTCTTAGCTAACATCACTGCCAATCAGCCCAAGTCCAAGGAAGCAGCAAGAAATTTCAGTACACTACCAGAAATTTTTGGTGCATTTTTCTCTTTAGAGTCCCAACAAATGGAGGTAAACTATGCAGTGTAAGGCAGACCAATACATGTGTGTGTTAGCAAAGAATCCTTCATCATATGCCCTTTCATATGCTTGCTTTATCAGAACATTCCTTTCTCCTGTGTATGCTTCAACAAAACGTTCATTCCTTCATGAGACTTCCTTAGTCTTTCTCCTGTGTCTACTTCAGGAAAACACTCCTTCATGTGTTTGCCCCATCAAAACACCATTCAACACACTGACTTTCCAGAGAACCCTTAAGTTTCCACTTCATATACCATGCAGTCAAAACACTCATACACATTTAAAAATAATTTAAAAAATTAGTAAACTTTCTTTGAACATATTGGGACATAACCATTGCTATTTTAAAAAATTGCTGGTCCAGGGCTGCTGAGATAGCTCAGAGGGCAAAAGTAGTTGCCACCCAAGCCTGAATTTGATTTTCAGAACCCAAATAAAATTAAGGGACTGACTCCACAAGGTTGTTCTGCCTTTCACATATGACACTGTGGCACGCACATTGTTGTACACAAAAGTAATGATGATGACAGTAAAATCACTGATCTAGATGTGATTAACCTTTCAATATGCATGCCTCACTTCTGTAAAGTATTTCCTAAGGCCACACGCCAAGAAGTTAGGCAGGATTCTTACAGCTTATAAGTTATATCTAGGGACAAGCTTGTGCTGTGGGCAGAACCCTGCCTGATTTCTTGGAGTGTGGCTCATTCATGTAAGATGTTCTGACCTGGAGCCAGAATTAAGAGCAGTCCATAGACAAATAATCAAGACCATTAATCAGTACACAAGATACAAAGAATCCTCTCAGCAGGACAAAGATTTTCATTATTCCAGAGTGAAAACCAGCCGGGTGGTGGTGGTGCACGCCTTTAATCCCAGCACTTGGGAGGCAGAGGCAGGCGGATTTCTGAGTTCGAGGCCAGCCTGGTCTACAGAGTGAGTTCCAGGACAGCCAGGGCTACACAGAGAAACCCTGTCTCAAAAAAAAAAAATTTTTTTTTTTTTTTTAGCTGTTAGAATGGCTTGACCCAATGACCATCAGTGTTGGTTGCCTTTTGGATTTTTGTGAACAAGATAAGTTACAAAAAGGCCACCTGAGGCTGAGAAAGAGGACTGAGCTAGCAGAAGGAGATGACAGTTGGTGAAGGTATTGTTAGGAAACAGTTGAACCAGGAGAATTTGAGCTGAGCAGATAGGTTAGAACAGTTGTTATAGTTAGAAGTTCTTAGCATTGGGGAAACTGGAGAAGGCACTGTTTCAGCAGACTGTTGGGGAACTGAGGGAGAAACCATTGGGAGAACCATTTGAAGGGGCT